CATTTTTGTCAGGTTTTACAACTTGGAAGTTCCCGCCTTGCAGGCAAAATTACTAGCTGTCTAAACGACCAGCTCCCTAAGAAGCTGCATTACTGGGAGTCCCTCACAACCGGTTCGCCCCTTGTGCTCTCCTTAAATGCTTAAACACTTCATGTGCCCGCTCTGCCGGCCTCATAATACATTCACTCCACGTTAAAAATCCCCCGGTATCACCCTGGGATTCATGAGTGGATTCATAGCGCGCACGGCGTTGACCAGGTGTTCCCGCAGCGTAAGCTAGCTTACGCAATACGAGAGAACCTCTCGTAAGAGAACGAATCGGTTACCTAACGTAACCTCGGTTCTCTCTAGAAGAGGGAACGAGTATTGCGTTCCCGGCCGTGCTTGCGCTACTAGCGTTTCGCTTCACGCTGAAATAAATCAACATAATAAGCCTGGGAGAGACTGTTATATACTCCATAGCCAAGCCCATTCTGGCGGGCCATGACGCAATGAGCGCGCGGGCGCCTCTCATTGGAAGCGGGTTCAGCCCCGCTCTCCCATAGGCTTAAGCAGTTCTCTCTGAGCGAACCAATGAGCTGCTAGCTAGCCTGCTCTAGGTCTGCCGCAGAGGAACTGCGTTGTGTATGGATACAAATTATGAAATAATTTTTGGCTTCAATATCTCAGCAAAGATGAATCTTTCCCGCAGCGTAAGCTAGCTTACGCAATACTCGTTCCCTCTTCTAGAGAGAACCGAGGTTACGTTAGGTAACCGATTCGTTTTGAAGACAATAAACATGATTGCAATGATATTTGATTTACCTGTGTTCTTCGAGCCATGTCAGGTATTTTCATAATAATAGATTATATGTATAATGTAATGCTAATCGAAATAGACTTTCACAATGTGCAGAATACAATAAAATAATATATTTTCTATCAGATTTTTTTATCTGAAGCCAAATCAGATCACAGAAATGTGCAGAATACAATAAAATAATATATTTTCTATCAGATTTTTTATCTGAAGCCAAATCAGATCACAGAAAGTTATTTAAAACACTCGACTTGCACTATAAAGTAAGTTTAGAGTAAAACATGATTTTAATCTCATAAATTGTCGTGTATTGATGGTGTGCTAAGCTAACATGCTAGCTAGCTCTGTGCACCTGCTAGGCTGCTAACGTTACCTAACTTCGCTGTCATTTTTATGATTTTTTCTAAATAAGAATGCTTACTGAAATGTTTCTTTTTTCAAAAAGGGCATTTGATACAGTTTCACTGTGAAGTGAGAACTTTTATAAAAGAAATGAGGGATTGAAACAGTGTGAATTGCTAGTCGTTAGTGATTATAATGCAGACAAAAGAAAAGCATATTTAGAGCAATAACCAGGCTGGAGAGGTGTGAATATGTGCAGGGGAGACTGAGACTGAATGGGGCTCGTTTTTGCATCACAAAACAAAAGAGGCAATAGACTGAATAGATGCTTATAAGATGACAATAAACACCAGTTTGCATTTTAGAGTAATCAAAATAAAGTCATATGACATGATCTTGAAAAACATTGAACTAAATACAGAGTTTTAGACTTATCATCTTCAGATTTTAAATATAACATGGTTAGACATGTGGCTTTAGCTGCAGTGCATTTCTAGATTGCTACAATGCCAACTTCAATTTTATTTTCATGAAGATGTTTCATAAAAATAAATGTATAATAACTTTACAAAACTTTGAAGCTATTTATACCATTTTTTTCATTATGACAATAATTAATTCTACATTTACAATGAACTTCCAGGTGTCAGCTTTCAAATGAGATCTTACTTGTGCTTTTAATACAAAGGGTTCATGAACTGTATCTGTTTTAGTTTGGGTATGCTATATCTGGGGATTTTTCAAAAATGGGGTTGCATTAACAGGTTAATGTATATAAAGCAACAGAATATAAATGCATAAATGCATTATTCACGTCTTCACATAGTACCTTTCAGGCTCACTTTTCTCACTATGATCAAGTGGCCTCTTACTAATTAGCTATTGGCCTATGATGCATTCCATGTTCATGCTCATTATTAACTCTCTTTTCTTTCTATGTTTTAGGCACTACAGGATACGCGACTGGTGGGTATACTTTTCTTTACCGTTCTTTGGGGGTCGGCTGCGCCCCTGCCTTCGTCTTCAGGCAGGAAATGCAGAGTCCGTACTCTCAGATTACGAGCTACGCCAAAGAACTTTATATCATATTGCTTGCTGGGCCGTTAATAAATGGTTAATTGTTACAGTATTATTCTCACGAGTCTTTCTGGTAGAAGTGCTGTGTTTGACTGAAACCTGACTAAAATCAAACAATTACATTACTTTAAATGGAGTCTACCCCCAAGATTACTGCTATAAATATGAGCCTCGTCTGAAAGGCAAAGGTTTTGCTGTAATTTATAGAATCTTCTTTTTAATGAAGGCATAATTTGTGTGTGTCTTTTCAGCGTTCTGTGAAGTTCACTTAATTTGTAGAATTTAGTTTCAATTTTACCATAGCTCTGCGCTTAATCTGACTCCAATTTCAAATGATTATACAATTTAGATCATGTTTCTTATTAGAAAATGATCATAAATATTGATTATGATTTAATTTTGATCTTTGATTATTCTCCACATATAATTTTGGTGGATTGAGTCTGTGGAAATGTCGTTTAAATGTGTTTAGCTTTCATTTTGATGTTAATGTATGTTTTTAGCCATATCTGTGACCTGTGTATTAGATGAATTGCAGTTATTGTTAGGGAGGATGGTAATAATGTGTCTTTTCTAATGCATCCTTCAGCTGAAAGACAATGAATCTGAAGGTGTGTGTGCTTATTGTCTGTCCTCTGTCAATAAACTGGTTCATTTGTGTTGCTGGGTGAAAATTGCAATATATTTACAGGACAATTTTTTTACAACATACACTAGTGTGTAATTTGATTTGTAAAATGAAAGTTAAAAAACAAAACATGTAGCCTATTATCTGAATAACCAGATTATCTTGTTTAATTCTATAGTTACCTTTATACACACACAAAAATCATGGCTGAATTTATGAATGGTTTCAATTAGTTCAAATGCATGATAATTACTGACTGTTTGGCTTAGTTTGTATATATATATATATATATATATATATATATATATATATATATATATATGTATTCACTGTAAAACCTGATGAGTTAGTTCAACTCAAACCGTTTGAGGAAACCGATTGCCTTAAATCATTTAAGTTTATTAACTCAAACAATTTAAGCTTAAAAAAATATTTGATTTGTGTTCAAGTAACTCAATAACTTATTGTTATGATAACTTGGGTAAATGGTTAGTTAATAGTACTAAAGTTAATAGTACTAATTCCATTCAGTTAATATAACTTAAATCTATGCACACTGTAAACCCAAATAAGTTGGCAGAACTTAAAATACTTTTATGAGTATAAACTTAGTTAGCTTTAATAAGCTAATCTGCTAACATAGTAAATGCTAACATATTAGCAATAGTATGTTATACAGAAACATTTGCTGTATGAGCACAGCAATATAAATGGATTATTTGCTCTCAAATCAAGCTACATGCACCACTTGTCACCATGATGGTAACTATCCTAAAGCCAACATTAACAGAAATTCTTCTAAATGAGCATAACAAAACATGAATCACTACTAAATCTCACACATAACATTAATCTTACACACAAAAAACATTATATTACACTTAATTTTAGCATTTACTCTCCCTTTCGAGTGCCATCGTCAAAGCATGCTGGGAAATAGACATCCCAGCTGTTTCAGTTAAACTTAAGTTCGTCTAAATTAAAATAAATAATTTCATAAAACTCAAAACAATGAAACAGTTCAGTTTACTTAAAATATATCAGTTCAGTGAACTTGAAAGAAAAAGAAAGTGCTAAATACTCATAAAAGTTAATTTGACTGAACTAATTTGTTTAATTTAAGTTTGTCCTACTCAAACCAATTAATTATTTTGAGCATTAGGGTTTACAGTGTTGTTAGATACCAATCATAAGAGCTGTGAAAAATAAGCAATTATTCTAGGAATATATGACATAAATGCACTTAGATCATAATCTTGTACAGCAGTTGTCGTTCAAATTATGACTATTAACAAGAGGATGACAAAACTAACATTTGCTACAAAAATATGATATTTGATAAACAGATCTCACTTGTTTTCTGTTATTAAATCAGGGTTCACTTGAAAATTCACATTTATCCTCCACTCATTCTAACAACTTAATATGTTTTAATGTCTCAGACCCGATGGAAATGAAAGAGCAAAGACAAGAACTGAAGTTAAAGGTGATGATACTGTAGTTTGTTTCAGCCTGTTGACACCAATAAAACAATTTAATGTGCAAATTTACAGAAGATCTCAGACATCACCATAATGAATGAGCTGAAAACAGGGAACTTTTGGAGACAAAGAGGTTTTTCAGCTGCTCAGTTTAACATGATGGCCCTGTACTTTTTAAATGCAGATTGGATAAAAACACAGTGATCACAGTTCACACCTGCAGTGAAGCCCCTCCCACAACAATTCACCAATAAATACTGGGAATATTCCCATCATCCTACAAGAGAAGGACAAACTCCAGGAGTAGCAGCTGAAATCTGTGTGACTGTTAAAGATGGAGTTTATTAAAGAGGAGATTGAAGACATGAGTGATCCAGAACCATCCAGAATAAAACATGAAGATACTGAGGAACAAATAGGTTGGTGTCCATTCTTGATTCTTCATTGTTGACGCTTTGGTAGATGTGAATTAATAAGCAGTATATTGACGATAAATGATAGAGAAATGCATATGAATGATCATAACCTTGTATATAGCAGTTGTCAAACATATTTTTACTATATTAACAATTGAATGACAGAACAAAAAGTGAAAGATCTGATCTCTGTTGCTCTCTGCTATTAAATAAGGGTTCACTTGAACTGGTTCTAACTGTATTTCTGTGTATTTTAGACCAGGTGAGAGTGAAAGAGCAAAGACAAGAACTGAATGAAGTGGAGGAGGAACATCGTAACTTTACAATTCAAAGAACAAAAGCCAAAAAGACGCACACCTGCACTCAGTGTGGAAAGAGTTTCTCACGGAAAGGACACCTTAACTCACACATGAGAATTCACACTGGAGAGAAACCGTATACATGCACTCAGTGTGGAAAGAGTTTTAATCATGCATCAGCTCTCAGTCGTCATCTGCGCATTCACTCTGGAGAAAAGCCATTTAACTGTGATCAGTGTGGTAAAGATTTTATTTCATCATCAAGACTAAAAAAACACCTGAAAGTTCATTCAGGTGAGAAGCCTTATGTGTGTTCTCTCTGTGGAAAGAGTTTTTCATGGCTGGACAGTTTTAAACTGCACCAGAAAACACATAATGAAGTGAGAGATTATATGTGCTTTGACTGTGGGAAGAGCTTTACTAGAGCTGAGCATCTGAAACAGCACCAAATAATTCATACTGGAGAAAAACCTTACAAGTGCTCATATTGTGACAAGAGTTTCACTCAGGCTGGAAACCTGAAATCACACGAGCGAGTTCATACTGGAGAGAAGCCGTACGCCTGTACTCAGTGTGAGAAGAGTTTCACATCTTCAAGAAGTAAATTGACTCATATTAGAAAGCATTGTTCTGTGTCACAGTGAGCAAATGTTTTGTTAGATGCACATAAGTAGCTAGCTAATAAACTAGTGATGATGTGAATGCCACGAGATTTGTGTTTTATGTTAGAGAACAAGAATATTATTGAAAATTATTTTGATAGAATGCTTACTCAAATAAATACCAAAATTAAAAGAGGCTGGAAACAAATGCAGAAAAACAACAACAATCAGTTATTTGTTAATATGTGAATATATTTTTTTGTTGTTTTTTTAGTTACATAAAGCCTGTGATTACATGTATGCACAATAACAACAAATAAAATGACAATTTTACTGACAATGTGTGATTTTGTGAGTAAAGGGTTTCTACAGATTCAATAATTAAAATTAACTGTGAAATTCAGATAAAGCAAACGTATAGTGAAATAAACTTTAATTATGTGACGTTAGTTTTGTGGAAGTTGTTTTTAAGTTGTAACTTTCTGACTTGTCATTTAGCTGTCAGTGTAAGGCAGTTCTTTGTCTCTAGTAAAACAATAAAAACGTCCTGTGGCCTGTTGCACAAAGCCGGTTTCAGTTGCTAACAGGAAAAGTTCGAGATTAGTTTGAGCAAACTTTTTCAGGCTTTTTCAGGCGCAAGAAAGTGGATTGGTTTTTAGTTTTAGTTTTCATCACCATGTTGAATAATTTTTTATTATTTTATACTGTAAATTTAATTATGTTAAAAAATATATGTTGTTTTTTGGGATGCTTAAAGTATGTTGTAAATAGTTGGAAAAAGTACTTTTATGTAGCCTAGACCTAATTATTTTCATTTACCAATTTTAATTGGAAAAAAAAAGGTATAGAAGAATTTTTCATGTAGAAATTATGACTGTCATTACAAAAATAAATAATTTCCAGAGCAATGAATTATTTTATTTACACATTTAAAGTTGCATAAAAGTAAATAATGAACAGAAATTATTTTTTTCCTTTTAAAAAATATAAGTGAAAAAAAGTTAAAGAAGGAGTTAAGATGAAGTTTATAAGAAAGAAAAACATGGATTTTACCTCTGGTTTCGCTAGCTATTTAAGTAAATGAAAACATAATGCTTAAATAATACTTACATTTAACATAATACTTACATTTAAATGTGAATTTGCCGTCCACCACCTAACTCTCGGCCGTCATTTTTTTTAACCCCTTGACGCCAGAATTTATTTACAATTATATAAAAAAAATTATTATGTGTGTTTCTGGCTCCAAGCTGATGCTAAATTAAGTTGAGATTGTTAATTTTTCTATAGCATAGAATAGACATAAATTTAGGTATGATGCAAATTAGCGACAACAGGCATTTATGGTCAATTTTTTTACAAAATGGTAAAATTAATAAAAACACATTTTCCCATCTCAGGTATGTAGATTTTATTCTTGTCACAAAGTTGTAATAACTTCTAAACTTTAATTAATGAATCTTGACAACAGCAAGAAACAAAACATTCTCCTACTCCCTAACATTGACAGTAGATTTATACATAGCATGTTACACTCTGTTTAAACTCTTTCCTTGTTTCTCCAGTGCATAGTTAACAGAAAAACACACTATAATAAGTAAATAACACTGTTTAACTCTTTCCTTGTTTCTCTAGTGCATAGTGAACAAACTCTTTCCTTGTTTCTGTCATGATTCTGCCATCATGTCCGTGATTTTCTCGTATTGCGGCAGGATCATGACAGACCCATGTTCTGTGTGCAAGCACATGGCCTTGTGTTTTGGTCATGTGCTTGTGTTGTCTCGTCTCTTTACCCCGCCCCCTTGTTATCCTGATTTAGTCATTATTGCTTTATCTGTGTCACCTGTCATGTCATGATTAGTCTCCCTATTTTATCCCCTTGTGTTTCGCTGTCTTTTGTCGGTTCATTGCCAAATGTTACCTGTGAGTATTCTGTGGAAAGTCTTGTCATTGAAAGTCGTAGTTAGTAGTCATTGTTAGTTTTATACAAAGTGTTGTTTGTTTCTTGTTCAGTCATTATCAAGTCTAGTCTTGCCAGTCTTATATCCCTTGTTTCGTCTGTTTTGCCCCCTCGTGGGTTTTGTTTTCCTGTTTTGTCCCAATAAACCCTGAGTTCATTGTACACCGTCTGCGTTTGGGTTCATCTCCGTGCACACCGTAACAGTTTCTCCAGTGCATAATGAACAAAAAGCACACTATAACAAGTAAATTACACTGTTTAACTTTTTACCTGCTTTTAGATTTCAAAGTTCTCAAACAATTACTGAAGTTTTCATGTATCATGCGATACTGGGTCATGTGGAAAGTGACCATGTCACTTGAAGTGTCTTTGCATGAAGCAGTCTTACATGTGGAATTCACGAAAGCAGTTATTGTTTTTGTTGAGGCAAAGGTGAACAGTGCACTTTGCACATTTGACTACAGTCTGGCCCTTGCAATGTGGGAGTTTGCAGCGTTGTCGCACACTTTCAACCACTGGCCAGTGACCCACAGCATCTGAACGGACTTCCTGTGTCGGTATAACCGTAGCTGGACCTCGATGTTTCTTCTCAAACTCCCTTTCAAGATCCAATGAAGGCCGCCCCCTCTTCTTCTTTGACAGATCCTTGCCTTGCATGCAGAGTGCCTGTGCAATAGATGTTCTGAAAGCAAGCAAATCCTTCTGCTTCTTTCTTGGGACCGTCAGTGACTCACAATCCCGCCGATACAACAACCAGCTATCGACAATGACCATGTCCACAAAGTGAAAAAAGAGTCTATGGTAGTACTTTTTTTACCTTATGTGGATGCGGTAATATGCAATCAGTGCATCAAGAGCATCAACGCCGCCCATGAACTTGTTGTACAGGCTGACGATGCTTGGGCATTCCACAGTCACTTTCTGTTTCAGAGTTTTATCCCATCTTTCAATGTTGGAAACAGGCTGTGCACTGGCAAAAGTGCTTGCAACAATCACCCCTGTGCTCTTATTTCCACATTGTCAACAACAACCTGTTGCTCTTCAAATGTGCCTCTTCCCTTCTTCTTCGTTTCTGTGTCTGCACTGAAACTGCACCCTCGCAGGCGACCCTGCCGTACAGTCCCAAGAGCTGGTATCCCATTGTTTGCAAGAGCAACAAACAAATCCAAGGAGGAAAACCAGTTGTCAAAGTACACCAGATGATTGACAGCACCATGGATAACTTGTGCAAGCTTTAGCACAATGTTTCCACTTGCCCCAATGTCTGGTAGTCCTGGTACAGGCTCAATTTTCCCTGCAAAGATGTTAAATGAATGCACCAGGCCTTTTGTGTCACAAAGAACAAAGATCTTGTATCCCCATTTGTAAGGCTTATTGGGGATATATTGCTTGAGACTTGATTTTCCTTTGAAAGGCACCATTTGCTCATCATTTGGTCTTGAGGGAGAGCCTGAAATTTGGGGAGGAGTGAATCAATAAGTGACCTGACTTTGAAAAGTCTATCACTGTTGTTGGGTGCCATGTTGTCATTGAAATGAATAAAATGTTTTATTTCTTCCCATCTGTCTCGGGACATCACATCAGCAACATGCGGCACTCGACATGCACCGGACCAGTACATTCTTGACCTTGGTAAATGAAAAACACTCATGTACACTACTGTGCCAATAAACTGCTCCAGTTCATTCTGATTCATTTTGAGGGAACCATTTGGATTTTGTTGTGTGCAATAAAGATTGCTTTGTTCCACAATAGTTTCCAAAAGATCAGAATCAAAAAAGTCTCTAAAGTAGTGAATGGGCAATCTGATTGCATCAGCATCTGGAAGAGCACCATGCCAAATTGGAATGTCTTTTGAGGACTTATTTTGCTTCACTGTCTTCCATACTACCTTTTGTCTTTTTCTTTGTGCAGTGGTAGCTGATTTCCCTCTTGCAGCAGTAGCACTGGTGCTAGGATGTACATCATGATTTTCATCGGAGTCTTCATCATTGCTGCTGCTGTCAGTACTCTCACCATCGCTGATTTCATCACCTGGTGTAGGAGTGTAGTCTTCGTCACTATCCCCACTGTCACTGAGACAGCTGTCGTCACTTTCGACTGATGGAATCCTGATTTTAAGTCCGCCTGGTCGTTTCCTATAGAACGTTGTTGTATTCATTATGTTCTGTGTTAAAACAAAGGACAGGAGTTGCTTTTATATCCTAATATGCTATTTTTGTAATTATAGAAATAATCTGCCTAAATAAAATGCATGTAAATACAGCATTATTATAGGTAGCCATTATAGCCGAATCCAGCCGTTATAGACGAATGTTGCGAATTTGCTACAAACAGAAATCTACAAAGTACGTAAAAAATATTCGTCACATGAAGTCTATTTTAATAACATAGCTATAGAAGCAATCAATAAGATGGTAAATATTTTTATCTTAGCACACATTTGCGGCCTTGATATGCTGATTTGTCGAACCAAAACATTAGCTTGCGTGAACCGGATGTAGTTCCCATTCCGAACGGTCCTACGAGAAACCAGTGCGTGCAAAAGGTTCCTAGGTATGTATCGAATGTGCACAAACAGGCATTGGGAGAATACACACGCTATCTCGCCTGCAAACTGAATGGAAGGGGTTTGATGCGAATTCGCGACAGTCGGCGTTAAAATAAAAATGCTGTCGTCACCAGCGCAATGACTTATGGGGTATGATAGGCCGCTAAGGATCCGTTTATGTATCCTTTCTTTCAAGGGAAAACGAAGGGTGCATTTGGCGTCGCTTTTGAATCAGGGTAGCCTTCGTCGCGCCGCTGTGACGCAATCGGCCTTCGAATACGGCGTTCGGAGGATGCAGCCTTCACATTGGGACACAGCTAATGCAATGCCAGACTCTTATCTCCTCACTTTTATCATTGTTTGTGTTAACATGAAAAGTGCAGTTAGGCCTCGTTTACACTGTCAGTGAAATGTGACCCAATTCCGATTTTTTGCTCATATGTGACACAGATCGGATGTGTTCTATGACCGTGTAAACAGGAAAAAAACGCTTGCTTTCGGATATTTCGAGATTGGTCTAAGGCCTCATTC